GGAATAATGTTTTAATATTTTAAAATGAACTGTTTTACTTATACCATTAAAGTTAATAAAAACAATAAATACATGTCTGACAAACAGTACTTCTATATACGACCCGTGCTGAAGATGTGACTTCTGCCTTCACTGATAAAGACAGGAAGGATTTGAACTCTGGCAGGAAGGAAGGGATGGGACTCTAACAAACTGGGGTTCATTGTCTTTCTTATGCCATATCCTGTTCCTGACAGCACCAACTCCAACTTTCTGGTGAGGTAATTTATTAGATGTTAATAACCCCGTGGTTGTTAAATTCTCTCTTCCTAGGAAGGATGGGAGACAGTTAAGGGGTGGCACAGTTTGGGGTTCTAATGTCCTCCCCAAGATTCGCCTGCTGGAGATGGGGCCCCAGGATGGAGGTGGGGCCTCGTGACAGGTCCTGAGGTCGCTGGGCGCTGTGAGTCCAAGAGAGCACTGTTAACAAAGAAGAGCGCCTGTCGAGAGCCTGTTTGGACTTTGAGTCTCTGTATCTGTGACTACTTCTTCCTCCTAAACAATCCAGTTCATCTACTTCATGATAGTGACAAGAAAAACCTCATACACGGAGCTACCTTCTTTCATGTGTAGAAGCATGACGGTCACAGGAAGATGTGAGTCCGGGGAGGGGATAATTTTGTTGTCCGGGTAACATGTGGCCTCACATCCAGTAAGAAAAAAAACAGGGATGCTGGGAAACACCATATCATGCCCTAGACAGCTCCCCACCACAAAGATTATCCAGCCCAAAACAGCAAAAAGCTGCTACTGGTAAACCCTGGGGAAAACAAAAGCTGCCTGTTCTGCCGAGCTGGAGCCCTCTTCTGTCTTCTCTCTCACTCTCTGGACTCACATCCTTCTTTGTACATCAATAATCTACATACCTGGTTTGACAGAACTGCTTCTGAAAAACATCACACACCTCACTGGACTCATTCTCTGGAAGGGACTTTCACTCCTTTGGTCTTCATCACCTGACCCTAAAACCCACATGGTACTAACCCACACCTCTTGCCTAACTGTCTAGGCCACCTGGCTGTCTTTCCTTCTCATGACTCATTTTCCCAGAACTTACTCTAAGCTCCCATCTGCAGCTCCAGTGTCTGCTCGTGCCTCCTCCTCCCCTCACCAGGACCTTGGAAGGTCAGCTGCCCACAGCTGGTAAATACTTTGCCAGCCCTCAGCTGGTAAATACTTTGTACCACTGGGTCAACAAAGTAAAAGCCAATGGCTACGTCACCAGGCTGGACAAGAAAACTGCCGGCTGATGTTTCGATGTTAATTACATTGGTTAAACTATAACACACTATTGAGACACTAAACAGTACAATATGCAGAGGTAAAGCAGACACTGAAAGTATCAAAGCAGAGACCCTTTAGTTGTGCTAATATAAACCTCCAAATAGTATTGCCAATGGGAAACCTAGAAAAGTGATGTAAAAGTTGTCCATTTTTTAAAAAAATCTGTTTTAAAAACCCAATGAGAGCACAAAGAAAGAAAGGGAACATTCTAGTACTCATCAAGCAAATGGATTTTGTAAAACTAATCTACTTGGGGTTAAGGCAATTAATATAGCTTTATTTTCATAGGTTCTGACTGTCATTGAAAATTAGTATGAGTCTACTTAAAAAGGCACAATTTTTTTAATGATGCTGCTAAAAAAGAAATGAGGTTTTTGGCATTAAGAAAGGCTGCAGAGGGTCGGGGATGTAGCTCAGAAGCATAGCACTTGCCTGGCTGAGTGCAAGGCCCAGAGTTTGATTCCTGGCAGGGGTGGGAGGAGGCTGACGAGCATCAGTTAGCAGCACAGACCCTGGTGCCAGACTGCCTGGGCTCAAAAATCTGCTTCCAATTTAATACCTCTGATCTTGGTCAATTCATTTCCTCTCTTGTTGCCATCTGAAAACTACAAATAGTAACAGTACTCAACCTCAAAGGGTTGTAATGAGGATTAGTTATACTTTAGAAATATGTACATGGTACACAGCCAACAGCATGAGTTCATTAGTAATTAGTAACTTTTTTAAATGTTAAATAAGTTAATCTCCGGGTCTTTTGAATGCCAGACCATGCTTTTCACTATCCCAAGCACAGAGCCCCATGTGTTTCTCACTCTCCTTAAGAACAGCCTAGAGGAGGGGCCAGGGATTTGGCTCCATGGTTGCGCCACCTTCCTGGCAAGTGCAAGTTCCCGAGTTCAATCCCCGCCCCGGCAGTGAAAAATAAATAAATAAACAAATAAATGAATAGCAGCCAATGTTGTCATTCTGGTCTAAAATTTGCGACTCAGCTAAATACTTGGATCTGTCTACAACAAACATTTTAACCTAATAGAGAGCTCTACTTCTAAAATGGTCAGAGAGAAAGAAAAAAATACTAAGACACAGTATAGTAATGCTGTAAGAAGTGTACATTGACAAATAGTAATGATAAACTCAATATTGGCACAATAAATGATGTGACTATATAAAAGCCTTCCATTCATGAAGCAGTAGAATAAAAATCCTAATGGCAGCAATAAGAAGCAAGCTATAAGGGCCGGGGATTTAGCTCAGTGGCACCACGCCTGCCTCGCAAGCTCAAGGTCCTGAGTTCGATCCCCAGTACTGCCAAAAAATAAAAGAAGCAAGCTATAGTTTCGGACATTTAGAAGTATTCTTCAAATTGAGATTCTAGGGGCACGGATGTGGTGTCACAACTGCCTGGCAAACAAAGCCCCCCCAAAAAAAATTGAGATTCTGTATCCCAATACACATAGTTCCTAAGAAAAAACTAGAGATTGAACCCAGGGTCTTTCACACTGAGCTACATCCTCAGTCCTTTTTTATTTACTTTGAAACAGGGTGTAAGTAAGTCAATAAATTGCCCAGAGTGGGCTTGAACTTGTGATCTTCCTGCTTCAGGTTCACAAAGTACTGGATCACATGTGCCACTAGACCCGGCTAAGAGCAAACTTTCTAAAGGAAAAGCAACCACAATAGTTACCCCAAGTGAAAAGCCAACTCCCGGTTCATTTTTTTCTTTTGTCAAATAAAAACAAATTAAGACTTTAAAAAGACTATTTCAGAAAGACTCCTACAGCAGAGAAAAAGCTTCACACTTAAGATCTTTAACTGCTTCAAACAGAAAAGGTCTTTCCTTTACAGGGAGGGACAAGCAGACTAACGGAACTTCTGAGGGAAACTGCGCACACAGGTGAGTGCATACAGACAACGTAATCAGGCTGTGCCATAGAATCTCAGATGACCTGTACTTTGTGCTCACTCAGATTTGAGGCAAGCTGAAGTTCCGGGCTCCACGACACAGAGAAAAGCCAGGGCCAGGGATTTAGCTCAGCGGTTCTGCCACCTGCCTCACAAGCACAAGGTCCCAAGTTCGATCCCCAGTACAAAAAAAATAGAGAGAAAATCCAGAGAGTGAAGTTCAGGCCAATCGAGGCAGCAGGTAAATAATGGACAACTGTGAACCACTACTGTCTTTATAATGGTGACAAAACTGATTTTAATTAATTATTAAAACAAAAGAGCAGCTAGGATTTAAATCCTCCAACCCGGGGATTAAGTAAACATCCAGCCTGGCACCAATTTAAAGGGCCACGTCTTGCCCTTGCCCTGAGCATCGACCTTTCGTTCATAGGCTGCCCTGGGTCAGGGAGGGGTGCCTTGCTGCCCATACTGCCAGACGGGTCAAAGAGTCTGCAGCCTTACATGTCCACTCTAAACTCTCCTGAAGAAGCAGTTCCTCTGAAGGAGGCAACCAACAGTTAGAACATGCAAAAAGTAAGAAAACCAGTAACAACACAGAAATGGTATCATTTTTTTTTTAATATGAATATATTCCAAGGCGGGAGTGGTGGAGACACCTGCAACCCCAGCACTCGGGAGGCTCCAAGAGTTCGAAGCCAGCCTGGGATAGATGGTGAGTTCAGGACCAGCCTGAACTACAAAGCAAGATTCAGTCTCAAAAAACTTTAAAAGAAGAGAATATATTCCAACTATATAAATAACCCCTGAAAGTATAGACTTAAGAACACATCCCAAATATTGGAAAGGAGACATCTGGAGACAAAGAGCTGCACAAAATTATAATAATGTTCTACCAGGGCTGGGGATTTAGCTCAGTGGTTCCACCACCTGCCTCGCAAGTGCAAGGACCCAAGTTCGATCCCCAGGTACCAAAAAAACAAAAACAAAAATAAATAAATAATAATGTTCTACCAAAAAGCTCAGAGCAAACATTCTTTGGCTTCAAACTGGGAGCACAAACATAAATTCCTTCTAGCCATATGAACAGACTTGGAGAAATATTTCATTGACTAGGAAACAATTAACAACTAGACATAAAAGTAGAAGGTACTAGCTCCAGATTTAACAAACAGATTTAAAATATTTTAAGTTCTAATTATACAGTTCTATTTTAATATTGTTACTAAAACAGATTAAAGAACACTGCAATTACTTTTGAAATATTGGAATCCACAGCTATGCAAGCCAACGTGAAGGAAGCAGACTTGAGCTTAATTTTAGAATTCTTTGCTTGCTTTCCCACAACATTGTCGTTGACTGATTTGATACCATCGTCATTTACTTTGGGTGAAGGGTTCCCAGTAAAAACACGAATTCTATCTCGAGTAGACTTACAGGATATATCAGCAGGAATCGGCAAAAACATTTAGAATATCTGCAGATCAAACTTAATCCTCCCCTGGGGTGGAGTAGGAGTAGTCCAAGGCAGGGCAGGGAAATGGGGAAAAAATAGGAACCAACATACACCATGTAAAGGTACAAGTTCCCAGTGATTAATGTAGATGTACTGTGTACCTAAAATGTGCCACTAAAAGAATTTAAGGGAAAAAAAATAACGCTCCCCTTCTCAGGTGTCCTTGCTTAACGGTCTGGGTTCAATCCCTGGTACCAAAAAACAAAACAAAGCAAAAACCTAATTTTACCATTATAGTATTGAAATATGATATATTTACCAGTTAGCGATATGTTATGACTCTCTGAGGAAAGATTAGAGTATTTTCCCATCATTTCTTCTCGAACAGGTACACTTGTAAAAGGTGAATCTATAAGAGAAAGAAAACGGGGTTACACATCCTTACTAAGACTAAACAACTACCTGAAAGCCAGTTGGCAACAGCTAAAATACTAGTGTGTACTCTTGATGAAAAATAGTTTTCCTGCCAGGCGTGGTGGCGCACACCTGTAATCCCACCACTCGGGAGGCTGAGACAGGAGGATCACTGTGAGTTCGAGACCAGCCTGGGCTACATAGTTCCAGGTCAGTCTCAACTGCACAGTCAGACTCTGTCTCAATAATAATAAAAAAAAAAAGTTTTCCAGAAGCTCTTAACTGGAATATACGAGACTACTAAATGTGACCAAATTACTGATTTTATTTCCCTATGTTCCCTATTTTCCTAAAATTTTCTGGCTTTTTCTTCAATAAAAACTTCCGTGTTTTTTTGTTCTATACATAATGTCTTTACAAAACACAAATGAAGACACTGAGCAATGAGATAAAAGTGACTAAAAGGGAAAGACAGGAAGAGGCAAAGAGAGAAGAGGACAAAGCAGGAAGGGAACTGCATTAAAAAGGGCACGAGAAAATAACCAACGTAGAAAGCTCTCGCACTCGGGGACAGAGACGACAAGAAGGCTGCTCAGGGGACGCTGCTGTTCTTTTCCACCTGTGCTTACGGCGGGGCGCTTTCTTCACATAGCCCCTCCCTCTTTTCGGTCACTTCTTGTCCTGAAACTTCTCACGTTCTCTCCATGTTCACAAAGCCCTTTTTTGTTTTTGTTTTTATAATACTTACTTACTGCTCCTTTGACTGAGGGCACCAGATCTCACCCCTCACGAAAACAAACCCATCTCCATCAACCAAGTCTGAGGGAAAAAGGACTCACTGTAAACATCACTGCATTTTAAATCTTCTATTTTATTTAACTTAAATCTGAAACTTTTCTGCTGTACTTCAATGAATACTGTTCTGTTCAGAAAGTCATTCTTAGTGCAAGATTAGATTTCCAATCCTTTTTTTTTTGGTACCAGAGATCGAACTCAGGACCTTGCGCTTGCAAGGCAGGACACCACTGAGCTAAAGTCCTGGCCAACCAAACCTTTCCTTACAGGTGTAAAAATCGACTGCTTTTGTTGCATTGGCTTTACACATGGCTTTTATGGCACTAATACAAACATGTACCCAGCAGAACATAATTCTACAGGTAGGTTGTATTCCAAACGCTTAATCATCTCTAATACAGCTTTGGAAGCTGGAATGCACCTTCCTATAATACAAAAACATGCTTACATCATTCCATCTCTGAATGATTACAAAGGAAAATATGTCTTGATCTTTAACAAAGAAGCCAACCATCCTAAAGTGGAGGAAAGAGCCTCTTCAATGAATTGTGTTGGAAAAACTGGATTTCAACTTGCCAAAAAATAAAAACTAGACCCCTATCTTTCACCATGCACTAAACTAAAATCCAAGTAGATTAAAGATCTAAATTTAAAACAGAGGAGCTGGGGATTTAGCTCAGTGGTGCCGTCACCTGCCTCGCAAGCACAAAGTCACGAGTTCAATCCCCGGTGCCAAGAAAAATAAATATTAAAACAGAAACACTAAACTTTCTGGAAGTTAGGTAGAACCTTCAAAGACAGTGGCATAGGAAAAGATTTTATGAACAAATCCTCAGTAGCACAGGAAATAACACACAAAGAATCATCAACTGGGATCTCATCTTATTAAAAAGCGTTTGCGGCCAGGGATTTATTTAGCTCAGTGGTGTTGCCATCTGCCTCAAAATTACAAGGACCCAAGTTTGATCTGCGGTACAAAAACAAAAAGCAGGGCCGGGGATTTAGCTCAGTGGCTCCACCACCTGCCTCGCAAGCGCAAGGATCCCAGTTTGATCCCTGGTACCAAAAGACAGACAGACAGACAGACAGACAGATAGATAGATAGATGCAACAACAAAAAGCATCTGCACTGCAAGAGAAACCACCAAGAGAGCTCAGTCATCCTACAATATGGGAAAAGAAATTTTATCAACTGCTCCTCAGACAAAGGTCTACTATCTAGAAAATATATAAAGAACTCAAAAAAATCAGGACCCCCACCCATACAAAGACCTGATTCAAAAATCTGCATCTGAAGTGAACAGGCATCTCTTGGACAAACCAGGAAATGCAACAAATAAACATATGAAAAAATGTTCCACATCACTGGTCATTCAAGAGATGCAGATGAAAAACAACACTGAGATTCCACCTCACCCCACAAAGAATGGCTGCTACCAAGAAATCAACTAACAACAAATGTTAGTGGGGTTGTGGGGGCGGGGGAATGACACCCTCCTCCATTGTTGGCGGGAGTGCAGACTGGTGCAACCACTATGGAAATCAATACGGAGATTCCTCAAAGAGCTGGGACTGGAGGTTCCATTTGACCCAGCCATCCCTCTGCTGGGTATCTTTCCAAAAGAACTAAAAGAATCATATCACAGTGATATATGTGCACCTATGTTTATAGCGGCACAGTTTGTAATAGCTAAAACTTGGAAACAGCCCAATTGCCCAACAAGTGGAGACTGGGTAAAGAAGATATGTTTTTTCTACAAAATGGAGTACTACTCAGCCATAAAGAATGAGAAACTTGCTGGGCATGGTGGCGCACTCCTGTAATCCCAGCACTCAGGAGGCTGAGGCAGGAGGATCGCTGCGAGTTCTTTGGAGACCAGCCTGAGCTACACAGTGAGTTCCAGGACAGTCTCAACTACATAGTGAGACCCTGTCTCAAAAAAAATGTAAAATAAAAATAAAAAAAGAATGAGAAACTGGAAACATTTATAGCTAAATGGATGCACATTGAGGCCATAGTCTTAAGTGAAATAAACAGGACACGTTATGTGTAAATACTGAATACTTTTGCTGCTGTGAAAAACTAAAAGTGTAAATAAGGTTCAAACTGTATAACTGATAACGTGAAATAGGAAGAAAAAGGGCTAAAGAAGGGGAAGTGGGAAGGGAAAAGAAAAATGTGAAAGGAAAAAATGTAATCAAAGTCTTAGTAGGGGAGGGTGGGATGATGAATGTAACTGTACCGTATACCTAAAAATTATCAATAAACTTAATGAAAAAAACATGTCTTGAGTTTCTCACTAGGCTATGAGGAATAGAAAACCTGTCTTCCATCCATGTCCAGTATTCTTGCATTCATATTCATCTTCATATCCTCTCTCCCCACTCACACACACACACACACACACACAGCTAAAAAGGTCCCCAACAAAATTATTGCATATAATAAAAATTCTTTTTTTTCCCATTACTGGACAGAGCCCACTTAAAGGATCTATGAAAGAAACATCTCAGGAAGATTGAGGCAGATGCCACTCGCCTCTGAATAGGAAGCCAAGGCGTCTGGGGCCTGGGTGAGAAGGGACAAAGTGGTCTGGGTATCATCTGATCTTCAAAGTCCGCCAAACATCATGTGGGCTTTGTTACCTTCGCTTCCTCGCTGGGGAGTCCTCCTTTCTGGGCCTATCTTACTACAGAACAAAGTACATTCATTAAGGCTCTCACCACCCTTCTCATTCTTTTTTTTTTTTGATACCGGGGATAGAACTCAGGACCTTGTGCTTGCGAGGCAGGCATGGAGCCACTGAGCTAAATCCCTGGCCCTCTTTTTCCAAATCCCCAGTCTCTCATTCCTGATACAAGTCCGTAACCCTTTCAAGAGTGTCCAGCAGCGTTTATTATTATTCACTCCATCAGTGATGAGAGAACGGCATAAGCTAAACCACAAAATGCTATTATTCTTATTCTAATTTCACTTAAACAAGGGTTAAGCACCTGATACATGCTCGATGGTGACAAAAAGTAAAAAGCTGAGTAAGCTTGCTCCTAACAGGGCCAGAGGCGCCCCACCTGCCTCACAAGCACAAAGTCCTGAGTTCAATTCCTGGTACCAAAAAGAAACCTTGGTCCTCAAAAACTTCACCGATCGTAACATTAGCCGTGTGGGCCACCAGCTGCGATGGGAGTCGGTAGGATTTCAGAGGACGGCAAGCTGCCCTGTAAAAGCTGCAGCGTGAAGCGGGCTCTGGAGGCAGGATGAGGGCGCGGTAACGCCGAGGTGAACAGGAGCTAGGCTGCTACGGACCCCCGCTCATCACAGGACCTGCTGTGGGAGGGAGAAACCATGTGGAAGCCACATTAGAACAGAGAGAGAAGGGGTCTCAGCTTTGTTCGGACAAAATCTGAGCTTAAAGCAATTGAAGGAATAGGACGGAGGGAAAGAAACGGCCAATCCTAGGCTATACTAGGCGTTCTGGCCATTTCCAATTGCAGGTTCGCATATTACGATTACCATCAGACGGCCACAAACTTGACACTGCCTGTACTTCACTCCGTTTTCCCTTCACACGATCAGTCTTTATCAGTCTTCACTCTCCAAGCAAGCGCCAACGGCTAAAGAACACGTACAACACAGTGGTTTTTGCTTTGGAAAAAGTACCTTTATGAAGCAATATATGCAAATGCCTGAAGAAGGGAGGAAGTGCTAGAATAGTTGAAAATGCGAATTTGTTTGGACAAGATTTTCTTTAAATCAAAAAGTGACTAAGTGGGTCTCGGGTTTAGCTCAGTGATTCCGCCGCCTGCCTCTCAAGCACAAGGACCCGAGTTTGATTCCAGATACCAAAAAAAAAAAAAAAAAAAACTGAGAAAGCAAACTATTGCTTTCAGTACGAAAGCCAGCAGAAGGAAACAGGACTTCGGGCAGATGTATTCTGGATAGTTCTAAGAAAGTATACGACTGAGTCACAAAAAGAATAAAATGGAAAGGAATTTGTACCCTAATCCAAATTCTGCCAGTCGCTTCTTGGGGTTTCAAAACATGATCCGAGCTCAGTATTCTGATAACAGTACGTCTCCATCGTAAAATGCATTTCATAAGAGCAAAAGGATAAGCAAAGTTGTATAAATATTGGATGATGGTGCCAAGATCCTAAAGTTCATTCCCCACACTATAATTGCCCCTTTCTTAATCAATGCAGT